TATATATATATATATATATGTGTGTATATATATATATATATGTGTATGTGTGTATGTTGAATATGAACGTGGTTATATCTACTGTAATGTTATGTAAAAATAATACTTCAGAGGCCATATGAAGTCTGTACTGTACAATGAGCACTTTGCTAGCGTACTTTCTTACCCACTCTGAATCCTAATGTCGGATTATTATTATTGTTACTATGATCATTGTTTTTCCTTCTTATTATTTTTAATTATTAAATGTTGCTTCTTCTCCCTGCGATTTATTTTGAGAATTTTCGGTGACATTTCTCCGGGATCTCAGGATTTCTGGCTTTGGTCACAGAACTCTCTCTCTCTCGCTCTCTCTCTCTCGCTCTCGCTCTCTCTCTCTCGCTCTCTCGCTCTCGCTCTCGCTCTCAACCACATTTTTAATTGGTGATTTTATTTATGAATGTTTACTCAAACTGAGAGCACCACAGCTCGGCAGTCATTGACATCCCATGCCCCTAGCTGATTCTCATGTTTTTACTTATCTGTGCTGCTATCATGGTAAAAATGATGATGATAACAATAATAATAATAATAATAAAGGATTTTCCCAAGTACAGTGGAACCTTATAAGAAGCGTATTATCGAAAAAATTATTTTGGATTGCTTGTCATGGCCAGTGAGTCCCCATGTGATAGGTAAAAATTTGCAATACGGACGGATTATTATTTAAGGGGTGTGGGGGCCGTTTTACCCCCACACTCTTTAAACACAAAGTTATTAAAATATTCCACGGTGCCTGTTCTCACTCTCGCTGTCAACAAATGGGAGACCATCGTCGAACATCACTTTGAGATCATGAAAAAAAATTGTCTTTCTAAATCGTGAACAGACATTCTTCGCACATGTGCCACTCGACTCAACTGACACCATCACTGAACACCAGACTGGTGAACGCAGTAGACAGGAAATATCCGGCCAATAATCCCTTCTCATATGTTCATTGCCACCTCACTCAACAAACCAGTCACTGCTACTTTAAGCTTGACAAGAAAAGGGCGGCGTGAGGTATGCTGTAAATCTTAATCCTTCTCACACAAGCATTAAAAGAATTTAACCTCACTGGTGGTGTAACCCAATACAGTGCGAGGGGTTATGAATGTGTCCAGCAGCCAGCCAATGTGTGGGTAAGATTAGCATCCTGCATGTTGTCTTTGGGCATTCTTTCTCGTAACTGACATTGTTGAATCTGGTACTTCTTTTTCGAGGCCCCCACACCCACCCCACTCCACTCTAATAAAAGGTTTAATTGCTTGTAGATACCACAACATGATGGCATAACAATAAATTAACGACTTGATCGTTGTTCCTTGGCGCCAAAAACGCCACAAGATGGCAGCAAAGCACAACTTTTATAGTGGACAGGACTTTTTTTCCGCCACAAAATAACAGTATAACAGTACAGCCCCCCCCCCCCAAAAAAAAACAGCGATTTGCGAAAAAATGATTGTATTTGCTGTTTTGTACAACTTGGTTGTTCCACTGTACTTTGTGGCATGTCCCGCTTTGTTTTCACGATGCTGACAACACACACACACACACATAAAACACCACCAGCCAAATGTTGTTGTAGTGGGTAAAAAGAATCTCAGTCCCCCCCCCCCCACCCCCAAGTTAGTTGCACCTATTTTTATACTGTCTGTATTACTTTATCGTGTGCGTATGTGTGGTGGACAAAAAAAAAAGTATTTTAGTGACATTTTATGCAAAGCAAATATTTGTACTTAAAATGTGACATTTATACTGTTCTACAAAGCCGTTCTAATTTTCGCTAAGCGCAGTCTCGTTTTTAGCAATAAATGTCCCATGTCTATTGGATTCATGACACTAGCTAATAATCCAGGTACGGAATAATTGTCGCTCTCTTTGTTGTGTAGCTGTGGTGACGATGTGCCTTGTCAGAGCTCTTTTATGTGCAAGTGTTGTACTTGGAAATTCTAATTAAGTGTTCCGATACATGTACACGTATCCACGCGGTGGCATACAGTAAATAAATGCCAAAGACGAAGAGGCATCAGTTTCGAGTGGACCAGTGCGCTATTTATTAACTGAGGTGTCGCTCGGCCGTGTCTGTATTAAAGTTGGAGCCGCGAGTCATAGACGGCGGTTTGCCGACATATTTCATCTTCCATTGACGAATCGAATACTGTACATTTTTACGCGTGCGCTATGTTGTCCTATCTTGACTGTTTGTTTGCTCGCAACATGGATGGCTAACTTCATTCGGTTGGATCTTGCCATACGAATCGGTTTTCAAACTGGAAGCGAATGCTGACCAATCGAGTCGTTTGACACAAAAAAAAAACATGTTGAATCTCAACATCTTGTATAAGCCTACCAAGAAAAAAAACAGCGTTCAGAAACAAAGTCGAGATGTGTTCAAGTGAAGCAAACTGTCTAGTTAGCAAGAAGGATGACTCACTGTATGTCAAGGTGAAAAGCAATAAATATAATATAAACTGATGTTTCTCTATTCTTATGAGTTTTGGTTATCCTGGTTGTTTCTTTTCATGGAAAAAAAAGTCTAGTAACTTCATTCGTACTTTTTACCCTGATTCGGGCTGAACAATTTTGAAAAGCAATCTAACTGCAAATTTTCTTTCTTCCCCTCTATTGTGATTTAATATGTGATTGTTTTCAAGATCGTTCTCCCATGTATTTTTTTAACACGTAAGGGGTGAATTAATCTGTCTTGTAATTAACATGAGATTTAAAATACATCAATGTTTTGGTCTTACAGTGCCTAATTGCAACATTTGGGATTTAAAAATTGCAATGTCTCTATAAATTCAATCTTCAGCCCTTCATCTTATTTGAGAACAAGTTGAGCAAAAAGTGCTCCGAAATATTCAACAGTTGGATACATGTCTGGCTGTCCTTACTTAAATCCACACG